TTGATAATATCTTCATGAAAAATTGAAATTGTAAATGATTCGGGATATTAGATTCCCAACTTAATTTTCGAATAATATTTTTGTCAGAATTAAATCGTTTATTAAATGCCTTACCATCCAAACTCATCATTTCTTCAATTGATTTAATCCATTGATTTCTATTAAGTAATTGGGATTGAATCGATTTTGCTCTGGTATCATTTAAATTCTTGGTATTTAGTTCATAATCAGAAAGAACCTTATTAATTTCTCGATGGTGCTTTGTTTTATCATATAAATTCTTGGGTGGTAAATGAATTGGTCTAGTTTGATCCAATACATTCAATTTTTCACATGAAATTAAATGTAAATCTTCAATTGATGATTGAGATTTAACAAATGTAGGTAATTTATACATTAAAGTTTGTTCACGAGATAATTTAATTAATTTGGAAATAGATTCACTTCTTTCAGTATAAAATTCCGATAAATTGTGAGCAATTTCAGAATCATCATCAGCAGCAATCACGGTTGTTTCATCTTCTTCAACGGTTGGCATATGGGTATCAAGTGGAGAAGTTGGAATTGAACCGCCACTATTTAATCTTCCTGGAAGTGGACATGGTTTGACTGTTACGGTAGAAATATTATATTTGTTATTATCCCCATCTTTAATTAAATCACGTCTGGATAACATTGTAGGCGTGGTTACACGAGTTGATAATGACGATGACGATGTAGTAGATGCTGAAGATGAATGCAAGTATAAATCAGAATGATTTTTAATTATTGGGACATTGAAGATTAAATTATCGATACCATTGGATAGTATTTCATCATCATCTTGATCAAATTCTTCATATCGTTTCTTTCTTAAGATTTGTCTTTCTTTAGTCTCTTGAGAATTCAAATATCTTGTTTTAGTTCTATGCAATGTTGGAATGGATGCGAATGATTTTGATCTACTTGATTTCATGGGTGGGTGATTGGGGTTAGGAGGGTATTGGGTATGAGGATGGTGTTGTAATTTATTATGACCAATGACACTAGAAGTTGAACTAGCTCTAAGTTTATACACCGGATGATTGTTGGCAAATTTTTGTTTATTGAAAAGGGGATGATCTTCAGATATGATTGAGGAAGTTGATTGTGAAACTTCGGGTATTATAGAAGTAGCAGCAGTCATAGTGCTTAATCTAGATTCAGCATTGGATTCAAATATAATCAGACTACTTTCATCGGATATGATTGAAGATGGATAAGACGAACCTCCTAATGAATCACCCGAAGGTTTTCTTCTTATTTCAGTTGATGAATGAGAAGGAGGACATGGAGGTAATTGCTTATGTAGATTAATTGTTGAGCTACTTAATTTCTGAACATAATAATCACCTGGACGTTTAGGTGATGTTTCTTGCAGCAGCAGTGACAGCAGATTTGTCAGAACCAGCAGCAGCAGCAGTAGTTGATGATGATTGTTATTATTGTTGTTATATTTATGAGATGCAGTGGATGGACGGTTGGTACTGGCACCAGTGTTACTTATTGATATATCATACAAGTCTTCATTATTAGCAGTAGTGATATTAGTTGACATAGCAAAAGGGGTGGTTGTAAAAAAAAAATATAGTAGCGAATGTATAAATAATAAATAGTAAAAGGAATTCTAAAATGTAACGTTACCTTTTTTCAATTTAGTATAACATATAGAAGATGATGATGATATATGATTGGATATGAATAGCGACAGGAATTACTGGAAATCGCAGTAGTAGTACTAAGAATGCTTATCAAATATTAGTAAAAAGGGGGTATTAAAATGAATTGGTTGATTTTTCTTAATCGAAAAAGTGTCTGTCTAAAATTAAACTGTAAGATGGAAGAAGCAGAAGAATTTTTGTTGTTTTTATTTTAATTTTTTTTATTTTAATTTTTAAATAAATTGACGTGAAATTTATTTTTTGTTACTTAACAGTTAATTAATTAGAAGACAGTTGAAAATTTTATTCTAATTAGATGTGCCTAAACTGTAAATGAATTAGATGCACACACATTTTTTTTATTGTTGAAGAATGGATTTATTTAATCACTCTACACCAATTAACTTACTTTAGAGAGATGATGAAAATTTCACATTTTAGATTGCTACTCCCTAATCCTTCCGACAAATATGGAATTGTAATTAAAATGTACAGATGAAATGACTTTCCAATTGCTTCCTGGAAAACTTTCCGTTGTTTCCATATTTTTCATGGCTATGTGTCAATTTGTTATCACTTTATTATAGTCTTAGCCCACTTTGTACAAAGTGTATATGTATACTCAGTTACATAAACTGTAAAAACTCGAGGGTTTGTTCTCTTTTTTTTTGTATTCCTATTTTTAGTTTTAAACTGTAAAAGCTTTATTGTTCTCTAAATTTAATTTTTTTTTTCCAGGTGATGTTACATTTGTTTTCAGTTATGAACTTTCCTAATTAGGATGTTAACGATCTAAGTCCTTAATAATTAGCCGATTCTAGATTTCCACTTTTTGGGTTAACAACACATACAATAACTTTTATTTCCATAGTGTACCTATCGTTAATCAATTTCACATTACAATACAATCAGACGATTCCTTCAACAATACATTGTTCTTATCACTAAGTAGTGAAGTCTACACTTAACAAAATCGCAAAATGTATTTATTTATAATTATCTATCAAACAATACTTACAGTCTATTTTTAGATGAAATATTAGACAAGACTCGAAAAACTTCGAAAGTAAGGAACAGTGTCATCTCATCTCATTTCTCGATAAGTATCCCCCCGCCCCCCTTTTTTCTGTCTTTGGTATAATAAAGAGTCTGTATGATATTTGACAAGGCATCATTGGTCACACCTTTTCTCCCCTGGCTGGGTTAGAAAAAACTATGACATGTAATCCCCTCTAACTACCAATCGTCATCACCCTTGAAACTTCGCCATCCACTTCCAAATATGAAGATCTGGTCCCCAGCTTCCACCCCACCTCTTCGCCCCACATATAAATACGAAATCTGACATAAGACTTAAAAAATGCTTGTTTCCTTAATTTAAATCTCTTACGTCATCGATCCATTCAGTTGTACTCATTTGTGCTAATCTACTTAATGCACGAGCAAATGCAAATTTTTCTTCGTCATTAGCAAATATATTGGCCTTTTTAGCAACCACCTTATCAAATCCATGTTTTGTAACCAATTCATCATTTTTAAAATGTTCTTCTAATGCATTCTCCTTTTCAAGGGTTTTTTTATATAATTTATAATTTCCTCTTTGAAGATCTTCAGGTTCTACAAATAAATCTTTAAATGGTGCTGCTGCAGTTACTGCCAATCTTCCATGAGCATCATATACTGCATCCAAAAATGTAATAAATCTTCTAACTGAATCTCGAACATCAATACTAAGATATGGAATATCAGTAACTATAAATGATTGGAAACTATTTGCCAACATTAAATAATCCCCGGCTGATCTTGGCATTCCACATAATTCATGAAAGGTAAATTGGGCAACATATTCAGGAGAACATTTAGGTATTTTAAGTTCTCTACCCCAAACAGTTAATGAATAATCAGATTGAATTGATTGATCATCATTTTCTCGATTAAAATAATCATACCATGATTTAATATGTTCTTCACGATTCCTTAAATTTGTCTTCAGATCCCATTTAACTCCTGGTTTGGGGAAATAATAAACTGAACTAATTGGTTTTGGAACTTTTCTATAATCAGTGGGAGAATTTAAATAAATCACTCTAGTTTGATTTTTAATCAATTGAATACATGGAATAAAACTAACCCTTTGAATCCCATTCAAATATAAATCATCAGGTGCTCTATTTGAAGTAGCAAACAAAATAACTCCATATTGTTTCAGTAATAAAATCATTAATAATCGACGTAATAACATCGCATCAGCAACATCAGTGACTTGAAACTCATCAAAACATAATACCGTGGACTTCTGAGCAATTTCCACCGCCAACAATGGGATAACATCCAAATCTTGTCCCCCGCCGTGACTGGCACTATATTCCATCTTTAATTGATGTGATCGTTTATGTAAATTTTGCATAAATTGATGGAAATGAATTCTGGTTTTTGGTAAATCTTTAGGTATTGTCAGATAAAATAAATCCATCAACATAGTTTTCCCACATCCTACATCTCCATATAAATAAATCCCTTTGATTTCATTCGCATCTCCTTCATCGTTGATTTTCATGCTATTATTATTCTTCCCTTTCCCAAAGAATGAACCAAAGATTTTCCGAACTCCTATTCTCGGTTTCAATTCAGATATATCGGGAGTTGTCACTTCTGGTGGAGTATAGGTTGATAAATTCTCATGAAGGACTGATAATGATGTAATAATCTTTCGTTGATATGGATCATCACGTAATTTTCCTTGGTCTACTCTTTTATTATAAAGTTCCAATGGCGTAATTATTGCTGGCTGTTGCTGTTGTGATATGATAATCGAAGAATGAATTGATCTTCGTATTGGTCGAAGTAGGACAAGATGTCTCGATTGAAATGCAGGTTTCATAGCAAAAGCAATATCAACGAATAAATAAATAGGTTATGCAAACAATGTCAAAAATGTCAAATAATTAAAAATGGAAAGTTCCCTTCTAGTGGGTGAGTTCTCTTAATATCAAAAGGAAAGTAATAACTTAGTAGCCCCTTTTGTCAAAATATGATTCACTCGGGGTTGTTCAGAGCTACTGGAGAAAGTAATTTGATGATTTCAAGAGTTTTTTTTTTTTTCAGTCCCACTTTTCGTTTACACCCAATTTCTCCCACCCCACTAAAACTTTTTTCTGTCAAGGAACTGAGGCTGAAGTAGTACGATTTGATTGGAACAGAAGAAAAAGAAAATTTTTATTTAATTTCCCCGGATTTTTCCATTTTTTGCTTTGTTTGTCCCTTTTTCTTTATGACATTGATATCACTTACCATTGGACCCTTGATTTAGTATGGTATTGGTACAGAGCTTCCACTACATTGTCAATCTTCCGTATCTGATTCTACCTCATTAAATCAACCGTGCTAGAACATTTCTTGCATCGCCCAAAATTCCTGCCTGACTCGTTCGCGTGGCAACCGAGCGAATAACACTTCCGCAAAACTCCGAGGCAATTTGCTTATCTATTTTCGCATTTTCCCCCACTTGATTCTGCAACAACAACTACCAACTGAGAGAAATCATAATAACAACCATTGTAATGAGATTCCAACAGATCAAATAATTGGGCAACCAAAGTCCCTCCAATGACAGTAATCCCGTTGTTCTTGGTTGCCGAAAACTGGCTTGTAATATCAATTGACCCGGGTAAGTATTTCCGATTTCGATAAGAACTTTGTTTGGATCCAAAAGACTTTAATAAAATTTCATTGACCTGATCGACAGTAGGACAATTTCTTAGTATTTCTATATCTGCATTCATTAAAGGAAGGAAGCTTGTGGGAAGATACTGTATCTTTGTGAGTCCTACTCTTGATCGATTGCTGTCAAATCTCATCATTAGTGAAGGGAAAAAAATAATTTTTAGAATAACTGACATTTGAGCGATTCGATGGTGTTTTACAAAAAATTCTCATTGTTATGACCATGCTATGATCAGCTGGTGAGTCCTTGGCAATTAGAAGGCGGTCTCTGATAATGGCCTTGGCTTGTTGTTTATTCAGCATGTCCATTAGGACAGTAGCTGGACGTCTTGGCATTGGCAATGGCTCCTTCAGCTTACGCATTGGTCCATGACGCGTCGTTGTCCTTGTTTAGTAGGCTCTTTGTATCTTGGCGGTTCCTTCCTGAGCTTTATAAATATCAGTCTAATTCCCCTAAGTTACAGTGTAGTTTGGTATTTGAGATTTTATATATATTACATAAATAAGTCTAGATTAGATCAGTTTTTAATTTATACAAGCTTTCCCCTCATTTAATAAGAAGGTTAACTCATTTAGTCTATAACAATCATCATATTATTGACTTAATTGCCAATTTTCGATGAATATATTACGACCAGGAATACTTAAACCATTGAGGAATGGCATACCGTACTTTTGGAAGGATTGGCTTCGAAAGCGGACTTTGCGGACCATATCCATTGAACAGATGGAAGTTTATACACCGATGACAACACACCCAGAAATAGATTACAGCAAAGTAGAATCTTTAAAAGAGACATTCAAATTAAAGGGAATTGACCTTGATAAATATCTTAACAGTGATCATTTTAAGTTTAAACAAGGAAGAGAGAAACGTTCACTACAAATATTGACTAATGCAATGAAATTAACGAACCCACTTACTAAACCTCTTATATCTATAGATTGTGAAGCATTTGAAACTAGTTCTAAAAAATTAACTGAGATTGGGATTGCAATATTAGATCCACAAATCATGACCCCTGGATCAATAGTTCCCCAGATTCAAACTATCCATCTTGTCATCTTGGAAAATCTTCGACTTCATAACCATAAACAAGTTGAAGGTAATAAATTAAAATTCATCGGAGGAACATCATATGTATTAACTAAAAAACAAGCCAAATATGTCGTAGGACAAATCATGGAAAAGTACATCACCAGTAGGGATGGAGTATTGATTGGTCATAATATTAAGCTGGATACAAAGTATTCAAAACAAACGGGGATTAAATTAGATGAAACAATTCATAGGATCGATACTTGGGAGCTTATAAAATTAAGTAGAGATTCAGGAAACTCACTATGGGCTGTTCTTAAACAATTAGAAATTCCTCATGCTCATCTCCATAATGCTGCTAATGATGCTTATTATTGTTTAATAGCTGCAATTTCACTTTGTGATCCAATAATAAGACTTAATAAGGACCTTGATTTTTATTTACCAGCACCACCACCATTAACCGAAAAGTATAGACCACGTAATGATGAAGCTAAATTTATATTAGTTAAAGATGAACAGAAATTTCTAAATGATATTCTTTCGACTAGAGGTTAGTTTGTTTGGAACAATGTGGACTTTTCTATTTCTTGTCAGTAGCGGTTCGATAAAGAAAATAAATCTTAATAAAAATCTGTTTGAAATATATATTACGTTTTGGTTGATGTTGTTGTTTTATCAACAACAGGCCAAACTTATAACCCGAGATACTAATGAATGAGTCCCTTTACATAACTTTTGGGACGTGAAATTATTCGACCTTAACAATCTAGCCCATAAGCCGATTGCAACTACCTTTCCCAATCTGGGACATTGTTATATCCCAAAAAGTTCTAAGCATTTTCAATCTTCTGACCGCATAAGTATATTTAAGAAGAATACCGGGAAAGTATTTAATGATTGCCATTAATTTATATAATAGTCCGCAAGTTCTGGTACGAGAGAGAGAGAGTCCTCCAAACCATACATTTAGTAAAGCCATCAGCTGCAGTGCAACCTTTCCAATAGAAGTTTGCGAATGTAAGTTCTAAGACTGAAAATCTTGATGTGGAGCACTATTGCTGGAATCATATAATAGTCTATCTAAATCTGGATTTGCAGCCTTCGATCATAGAAGCATATAAAGGTTATCCTGAATAGAACCCCGTCCAGTCACCGGCTTGTAATTTATAACGCGCTTAATCTACCTTCTCATTTCAACGCAGAGGAATATTTTTGAATATAAAATAATAATCCCTGTGGCAAATTAAAACTGAAAAGCGCAGTAGAATTAAATGTTTTTGTACTCTTTTTTCAACCATAAACTGTGGATCGCGGATATGTGCCATGCGTTGAATTTATGCATGCAAATGTAGTTTATCCTGATAAGAAGGGTGATCTGAACGAAGTGTTACTGCTTTGATAAATAGCACATGTCCATAGAAACTTCCAGAATCATAGTGATAATATTCTAGAAGAATCATTGTCACCCCTCTGGGGACATTTTGGTAGGATGTGGAAGTCTTTGGGGACAGGGTTTGACAGTTGGACGGTGGAAGCAGAGGACTCGACTTTTTCGAATTACATTAGTTGCTACCATATGGTATTAGTATAACATATGAAATAAATAGGGATTAGAATTGTCTCTTATTGGTCGCGTAGAGAGCATAATTAAAGTCTACATGCTTTTAGAGCCATTCGAACTTTTTGTCACATGGTTTACTTGCAGACAAGTTGGCAATAAATTCCTCTGATACCTTATGCTTTAAAAGTTGTGAACTACTTTTGAACTCATGCTCATGTTCAGCAAGTTCTAATGAGCTATATATTATAATTACTCGACTTCGGTAAATAGAAAGTTATTTCAAGAGTTGGCTCTCGCATTCTTATGTTCGCATATGTATTACATTCATGGTGTGTTGGTAGTGCGGTGAAAAATTCCAGTACGGAGGAAAACTTTTCCATCCTGTCTCCTTTCATTAAAATGAATTTATAGTTTATATATGTTTATCTTCTTGTATGAAAATAAGGGTCTTGATAGAAATAATACATATCATATATTAAAATTTATCTTCGATAGAGAAGTTTCCATAGAGGCATAAATCCAAAGTATATCTATTTAACACCAAATATTAATACGCGGGCAAACCTTTAGTTTGAGTCAAATTATAGGTGCGAACATCTTATAAGGTGTTGAGCAAAATGAATGGCCAACGAAAAAAATAAAAACGGTAAACAACCAAAAAATCTAATCAATAGACCTTACAATTTGTAAGAAGAAGTTAAACCAAACAAATTGTCTACTTAATATCGGCAGTACAACAGTTTATAATTCTACAATAGTGTGCTTTGATAGACCTCTTGTAGTGTTTTCTGCCAAGCTATTCGATTTTATTCTAAAGGAAAATGAATAATACTGAAGTTAGGAAATGTCTGACCTGTCAAAAGAAGAGGAAAGATGACGAACCCAAGGAAGATAGAAAGTACAAGAAATGCCCTCAGTGTCGCATAAAACAGCACCAACGATATATAGAGGCCCGCAGACATATCGAGGACAGTTTGAATAGTGGAATTAGGTTATGTCTGTGCTGTGGCAAGGAGAGGCCAAATGATGAACCAGAGACAGTGAGAAAGTTCAAGTATTGTACGGAGTGTCGTGTCTATAATCGTCAGAGACGGGTGAATTACCGACGATATCTTAAGGAGAGTTGTAATTCTGGAAATAGGAGATGTGCTCAGTGTGGCAAGAAAAGGCCAGACGATGAACCAGATGAAGCTCGACAGTTCAGGTGTTGCTTAGATTGTCGTCTCCGTGAACGTCAGCGTTTCGAAGAGACCAAAGCATATATTGAGGATAGCTGCAATAATGGAATTAGGTTATGTACCAGATGTGGTAAAGAAAGATCGGATGATGAACCAGAGGATATTAGAGTGTTCAAAACCTGCACAAGATGTCGTCTCTATCTTAACCAGAGACGCAATAACAAAATTACGTTGGTGCTCCTGAGAGATAGTGGGGAGAGCTCCGATAGAAAAATTAGAGTATGTCTGGGATGTACTAAGGAGAGGACAGAGGATGAACCAGAGGAAGATAGAAAGTTCAAGCTTTGCGCAGAGTGTCGCCTTAGACATCGTCAGAGAGGCGAACGGGCCCGACGAGAAATTATAGAGAAGTGCGACAGTGGAGATAGGCTATGTATGAGATGCAGAAAGACGAGGCCAGATGATGAGTCAGAGGAAGAGAGAAAGTTCAGGCATTGCAGAGAGTGTCGTCTTCGTGGCCGTCTTCGTGATCGTCAGAGAACAAGCGCTTCCCAAAGAGATTCGGAGAAGAGTTCTAGTGAGGTGGTCAACAAGACATGTCTGCAGTGTAAAAAGAAAAGGCCAGATGATGAACCAGAGGATGCAAGAATGTTCAAGCTTTGCCCAGAATGTCGTCTTCGTGCTCGCCAGATAAACAGAGAGCGCCGAAGACAAGATGGAGCATGCCTGAGTTGTAAAAAGAAGAGGCAAGATGATGAACCAGAGGATGCAAGAAAGTTCAAATTATGTCCAAGCTGTCGTCTGCGTTCTCGTCGGAGAAATCGAGCTCTCCGTTCTTCGCATATCCCCAGTCTGTATGAGACGATGCATATGTCATCTTGTTCGAAGGGCGCTAAAATGCACAGTATAAATAAGGTTTCGCTACCTGTACTCGCCCCAAACCAAAGCCTGGGCGTCGCTACTCGCTCAAGAACGCGCGCGGATGGTCATATAGCTTCCGATGGTTTTCCTTTTCTGTGCAGATCTCGGCCCAGGTATAAGCGACGTTGTACAATGCCGCCTCCAGTCACAGAAAATGAGAGAGCGCGCATTCTGCCCTTGGAATCCGGGATAAACTCTCCCCTTGAATGTACCTCAACTAGCAGGTCGCGACCCTCGAGATTCCGAACAAAAGAAAATATTACACCCATAGTGTCTACTTCCAGTCCTATATTGGAAGTAGAAGTTATCGCAAGCGATGAAGATGAGGATAACGAGATATCTGAGGAACCATTTGATTTGTCCTCTTCGGATTTCCTTGACAAAATGGGACCAAATCCTCAATTGCAATCTGAGTATAGACAGCATTTAGACAGCGAAGGACTCATGAGCTTCTTGGAGCGTTATATACCAGAGACCATGAATAAGTTTGATATTTGTAAAATGATCATCGATTTGGGATATCCTAAAGACAGAATAGAAGATTACCACCATTTTATAGTTACTGAAACCCTTCAGGTTTTAATTGATTTAATTTGTAAAGACAATTCCCAAGAGTCCCAACGTTGATTTGTATTTAGAAGACGACGACAAAAACAGATGTGATAAAATAATTAGTATGCCACAGTCGCCCGGTTAGGTTGGAAATGGTTTCCGAACTAATTGAATAACTCTCGCGTCGATGTTAATGTTAGCATCTAAATGAACTGATTCATTAATCGTTTTCCTACTGTTTCTTTGGTTTGTTTAAGAAGAGTCTTGTCTATAGTTGAAAGACTTAATATGAGCCTTAGTAAAACATTCAACACTTGTGACGTGTACCTAATTAGGATCAAATACTGTAAACATATGTGTTTTGCTGCTACCGAAGTACGGATTGAGGTTAATTCTCTATTGTTCGCTCGGAAATAAAACTTTTTCAACTGATTCTTTTTTTTTTTCATTTACTCGAGTAGTTTGAACAATTTCCCTGTTTGTCCAAATGATAAACAAATCAGATCAAAGAGATATTTTGTTTCCTGATTAACCAGAATACTTAATTTTCTATCTTCTTAAACTAGAATTCATCGATTTGGACCATAAAGCCTTTACAAGCGATCCTCGTCACAAAATCTAAAGGGAAAATTATTGGGGGTTTGGTACTCTTTTATGTAAATGGCATCCTCGAACATTATGGACCAATATGAACCATTGGAAGTCATAGGAAAAGGATCCTTCGGAACAGTACGAAAAGTCAAACATAAACCAGATGGTAAGATTTTAGTTCGGAAGGAAATTGAATATACTTCTATGAATATTCAAGAACGAAATCAATTAATATCAGAATTACGAATCTTACGAGAACTAACTCATCCAAATATTGTTAAATACTATCTTCATGATCATATTCCTGAAAATAAATCAATTCATATATATATGGAATATTGTGACGGAGGAGATTTAGCCCAAGTCATATCTAATTTTAAAAAGAATCGAGAACAAGTTCCTGAAGAATTTATCTGGCAAGTAATGGTTCAAATCTTATTAGCATTATATCGATGTCATTATGGTTCAGATGCTAGTAAGGTTAACTTATTTGGAAATGCAGGAAATAACTCCAATACCGGTCCAAATATTAATTCAGAAGCAGTTGTCATTCATCGAGATATCAAACCAGACAATATATTCATGTTGAATTCAGGTAAGACCATAAAGTTGGGAGATTTTGGATTAGCAAAAATGTTAACGCTGAAGAATGATTTTGCCAAAACATACGTTGGAACTCCATATTATATGTCACCTGAAGTACTTGTTGATAATCCGTATTCTCCAGTATGTGATATTTGGTCACTTGGGTGTGTCTTGTATGAATTATGTTCTTTACAACCGCCATTTCAAGCGAAAACTCATTTACTGTTACAAGCCAAGATCAAAAAGGGGAATATACCTGATTTACCTAATTATTATTCAACCCAACTTAAATCATTAATTAAGGAGTGTATCACGGTTGATCCGGACTTAAGACCTACTTGTTTTGATTTAATAAATTCTTTATCTATACGGTTTCTCAGGAAGGAAATGGAACTAAAGGAAATAAGTAGTAATCTTAATGAGTTTCAGAAGCAATTACTAAATAAGCATGAGGAACTCAAGAAGAAAGAAGTTTACTTAAACAACTTAGAACGTAAATTAGCTTCACAAAGAGAGGAAGATCAAATAGAAACAACAAATATGCAAAAGAAACTACTTGCTCAAAAGAAGAAATTTGAAGATGATTTAATTGAAGAATTCGAAATGAGAATGAGAGCAATGGATCTAGAAGCAAAAGAAGTCAGATTGGGATATCAGCGAGAATTCAAAATGGTTGTTGAACAAGAAGTACAAGAACGATTGAAAGAAATATTGTTTGCCAAGACAAATGAACTACAGAAGTCTGCAGAACCAGTCAGCTACAAACCACCATCCCTAAATCAACAAACTCCATCCCCGCAACAACCTCCACTTCAACAGCAGCAGCAAGGACGCCCATTACTGTATCATCAAGATATGCAATCTCCAAAACCAAGAGGACCCAAGGAATTGTTCGAAGATAATTTGCGTCGTACCCCATTAAAGAATAGAAATAATGAAGATTTAGATTATCTTTATCAAAAATCTCCCATTAGAATCCCACAAACTACCACTAATGTCCCCAAGAGGAGAATAACTGATGAAATGGAACGGTTAAATTTAGAAAAGAGGCATACCCCTGATTATGAAGATGTATATCTTCGTAAGAATTATCGGAATATTTAATAGTTTAACATATGCATATACAACTCTGTATGTAACCTAAAGCATGCAACACATCAAACATAGAGATATTTTCTCTGTATGAATCAAAGCTTATGGTTCTATCTATTATAGTTAAAAGTATTTATTCTCTAAAATTAAGCATATTAATCTATTTAAATATAAAATGCACAAAGTATAAATGGTAGGACTATATCACAATAGGCAAGTTCAATAAACACAATCTCTTAAGCCCACTTACCCAAAACACTCATTAATATCATACCACCCATAAGAGAAGCCATAGCAAGCAAAGTCTTTATAATAGGAGCATTGGACAAATATCCATGCATCCAATCTTGTGACCACATTTCAATTAACCCAGTCCATAATAAGACCCCAGCTGAGAATGAATCAAGAGTTCCCAATGCAATCAAAGTTGAAGGATCGTTTCCATTGAATGTATGCAAAGTACCAATACCGATCGCCATTCCAATTGGGGTGATTAATGCGAAAATTGCTCCCATGATTAATCTTGTCAATGTGGATGTGTTTTTCATCTCAGTGATTCTGGATCCAAGTGCTAATCCTTCGAAGAATTGGTGGAAAACAATCACAATGAATAAGGTAATGAAATAAGAATCACCAGCTACCACCAATACAACCCCGATCAAGATCGAATGGAAGACGATACCACATTCCATAATCATGACAGAAAGTTTACCTTTGGAAGAAATTCCATGGATAGAGATCAAACTTTGATCAGCACTGCTTATAGAAGTAAAATCAGCAATTGTATCGTCTTTGGTTGGTTCTTCAGGTTGGATTTGTTTTTGCTTGTTTGCTCTAGCGATTAATAAACGATGGGCAACATATTCAACAATAAAAGCAACGAATAAACCCGCCATGGTAAGTGCAGTACCAGTAGCTTCATAATGGAGTGTAAGACAAGAATTGCTCCACATTAATGCAGCATGAGTCATAAGATGAACAAGCGCAGTTGATATAATAACACCAGTACCGAATTGTTTAATCATAAGAATTATAATACCTTCCATTGATAAGTTAAATAATGACTTTAAGAACATTGGTCCAAAGACACCCAATGCACTAGTTACCAAAACCACAAACAACAATCCAATTCTTAATTTGATATTATAGTCTCTATCCACCCTTTCACACAGTCCTGTTGTTTCATCATCGTCCACACAATGTTCAACACCAGCATGAAAATGACAATTCCTACCACAGGAGCTTGTTGTATCTGCGGTTGTAGTTCCTGCAGTTACGAATTGTACTTCTTGACCATCGTTTATACAGAAAATCTCTTCACCATGAGCATGACAACCTGAATAACTTGTTGGTGCAGTTTTTTCATCGGTTGGAGCAGGGACCATTTGTCCTTCTACTCCATCGGGATCAAGACAGTATTGAACTTTGTCATGGAAATGACACCCGGTAACTGAAAATTCTTCATGGTTGTGGTCGTGGCCCTCTTCTTCTTCCTCGTGATCATGGTCATGGTCCTCTTCTTCCTCATGATCGTGATCCTCATGGTCATGATCTTCTTCTTGTGAATGGGTTTCTTGGGGATCTCTTAATATGGTGATGGTTGTTGGTTGGTCTTCCCCGGTGGTACTCTCCAAAGCATCAGTAGTATGGAGTCTGAATGTTCCAGAAGTAGTTATCGTAGTTGCTTCTGAAACTACAAAAGATGCTAAGAATGTAGTTAATAATATATGCTTCAATAACATTTTTGACAATGGTTAATTGGTTTTCATTTTTAGAAAATAAAGAACAAAGAGAATGGCTGATACAAATGAGTTTAAATACAAAAAGAAGGAGAGAGGCACTTTTGCTAGAGCCCTGTGCCAAGAAATAAACATGATGAATTTACATATAAACCTATAGTGGTTATTAAGAATGTAATATTAAATTTTAACTTGGAAATTGAAAAGGTGATGATCAGTTGATACGGGCGTGTTAGCACATGCAATGTTTGAAAACCACTAGGGTTGCAAAACACTTAAAATAATTTTTTATTTTTTAATTTAAGGTTGCAAAAAAATCTTAAAAAAAATAAAAAGTAGTCAGGTGTTGTTGTTTGGTGAAGATATAGATCTGACCATTTTAAACAAATCCATATGGAAAATTTTAAAACTGATTGAATTGATGAATTTATCACCAAAACTACTATAAACTTACTCTCTCTTCTTAACAACTGGTTCTCGGGATACTTTTTTAAAAAGGGCCCAGGGACAGTACTTGAACCCTGAGCCACCAGATCTGCAATAGTTTGTACTAGATTATCGTAAGGCTGACCTTTTTCAAAGACAGCAGGGGTTCCGTATCTTCTCCTTGGAAGACCGAAGGGGACTTGGAACTGCAAGGAGGAGGGCGAAGGGCATATAACTCTGGTAAACTAAGGTATATTCACAATGAACCGGTCGTAAAGAACTGGTTTTCACCAATTTCTAATTCCTACACCTAAGAAGGAGCTTCCAATGTACATTTATTTTGTCATTCCGACCCAATTGAGATGAAAGATGCAACAGCAGTAAGTTGGTCCATCACAATGCAAGTGGAACATATAAGGGAGAGGTTATGTGCTCCGTACAAAGATCTTTCCAAAATATAAGAACTAGTGCATGGAAGACGGTGATTAAGTTGAAGAGGTGACCATCTAACTTTCTCCATGTATTATAGGGATCCTTCATCGAATTTACGAGATTCAAATTCCGCTAAGGTATTCCAAAAACCAAGTTCGAATAAGGACCTCAAATTCAACTATGAATTCCGAGAACGGTGTAGGTTTGCAAGTGAAATCAGCTACTACTGTACTTAAACGAAGATGCATTTATAGAACATCGGAGACAATGGGTTTCACCCAATCGGCTTCTATTTCTTCGATTATTGGTAGAAACTCATTCAAGGGGAGGTTAGGAAGACAGACATGTACGACTACAGTACGATTGGTTCAACGTGAAATGAATTCACAATTCAGTTCCATGAGGCAACTCGTAAGGAATCGTATTTTGCTTAACTGGGAAGCAATGATANACTTATCAATTGATCTTTAATGAAGTCAGCTGATAGCCGACTAAGCTAATTGACTTGATGTTTTCAATTTCTCATAACCACTATTTCTGAATGCGAGTAATATTAATATTGACATTCTATTTTTTTCAGGGAACAATTAAACTTTTTGTAATTAACCACAGTATTTCTTGGCATTTTCTTTAGGACTCCCTCATTCCAATTCTAAAAGAATTATTCCTGTATCTTTACTGGCTACTCTTCAACTATGGTCATTGTTTCTTTAATAATTTGATCAATTTAAGCAATTTAACGTATCCCTTTAGACCCATGGCCATTAATTAGTGATGAGTATTAGTAACCACTACAGTTGTAGACATCAAACATGTATCGATTCGAAGAATATAAATAATAGTCATTTTGAACTACAGAAGTTGGTAGCAATGATAGTTCTCTTTTAATTCGGCAAGTAATATTACAATAAGACTATGAAGTTATATCTTACATTATTATTTTTCGTTTCAATTGCAGTTTCAGCAACTGTCTATGAATATATTGACAACACTGGTTCCGCTTATGCTTGGAAACAAGGTTGGATGAAATCATTCAAGATTCATGAATCATGTAACGCTACCCAATACAATCAACTTGCTGCTGGTTTACAAGATACTATTGTGGTTGCTCAACACGCTAGAGATCATACTCTTAGATATGGAAGAAAGTCTCCATTCTTCAAGAAATATTTCGGTAAGAAGACTCCAACTGCTCCAGTCATTGGTGTTTTTGGTATTGTTGCTGATGGTGATAAGAGTGATTTATTATTCCGTTGTGATGACCCTGATGACAAATGTAGGAATGAAGGTTGGGGAGGATACTGGAGAGGCGAAAATGGTACTAATGAAAACAATATTTGTGACTTAAGTTTCTTGACAAGACAGTCATTACCACAGATGTGTAGCCAAGGATATACTGTTACTGGATCAAAAGCTAGTGTCCAATGGTCGGGTGATTTGTTACATAGGTTGTTCCATACTCAAAGTGCTGGAGAAGACCAGATTGATCATTATGCTGATTCATATGAAGATATATTGGAACTCGTTGCCCACAATACATCGTACACTGTCAAGAACACAGGTTCATTGATTCTCTATGCTATGGATGTCTATGCTTTTGATTTGACAGTTCCAGGAGTCGGTTGTAATGGTGATAAAGACTTCAAGATTGAATTGACCGATGGTGATGATGAAGAAGAAGAGGATAACCATGACCCTGACCATGACCATGACGACGAGCATGACGACGGCCACGGCCACGACCATGACCATGGCGATGATCCAACCAAAACTGAAGGATCCAGTTGTCATACCCATGCAGATGGCGAAGTCCATTGTGCTTAGAGTTTTCCGCTTTTTGCGTTATTTAGTTTTCATATGTTTCGTCAAATGAACGTGTTTTATCTTCTTGTTTTAAATTTTCAACACTTACCTCTAAGCCCTGTTAATTACGTGTCATTCGTTATTAGTAGAACAAAAAAAAACAAAAAACTCGATTGATCAATCAAATTTCATTTTTCCCCTTTTGAGGTTTGTTTCAAAAAAGCCACGATCAAATATTTCAATATTGCTCCTCCTTTTTTTTTGCTATAATGTACTCGTAAGCCCCCTTGAATAATTGTCCAGAACTACGGTTGTGGACAACGAGAGACTACGACCACGACTATAAATAGATCAATAAAAGTGCCAATTCTCTGATTCTCTTCTTCTTTTTCCTTTTCTCTTTTCTCTTTTCTTTCGTTAATCACAATTGCTAATAACACACTAAAATGTTCGATTTCTTAAAGGATAGCCATCAAGAAGTATACGGTCAACAACACGAAGGTAAATTCTCTCATGAATTAATTGCCGGTGCCGCCTCCTTCGAAGCCGTTAAATTATTCGAAGACAGACAAAGAAGAGAAGGTAAGCCAGTCAGTCATGCCTTTGCCAAAGAAGCATTAGCTGGTATTGCTGGTGGTGAAGTTGACAAATTATTTGAAACCAAGGGTTTAGATTATTTAGATAGGGATCAAGCTAGAGATCAAGCTATTCAACAAGCTCAAAGAGGGTATGAACAACATTACGGTAACCGTGATCAATGGACTCCTGATGCTCCTCCTCCATTTGATTATCAATCTGACAGATATCGTTATTAAGTGTTCCCATTGATGGGGAATTGTGGAAACTCGTATGTAGTCAAAATTTAATATACAAAAAGTTACACAGTAATCTTGATTGAATTTTCTATTTTGTACTCGTAAGTCAATGATTAGACTACTGAATTAAAAGCGTTCTTCAGCTTTAATCTTCCTATTGAACACGTTTGTCCATTTTTTCACAAAAATCAGCGTTCTATTCCTAAAAACAGTAGGAGCCGAGATAGAACACAAACCCCATTGTTACGTCATACAACTGTAAAAAATAATTCCTTCAATCTGTAGTAGAATAGATTTATACAAAGCTCTAACTTAGAGAACCCATATCTTTCTGCAATGAATTGTGGATAAAAGGTTAATCGGCTCATTATATCAATGCTTCAGAATTTATGGATTTATTCGACTATAGTTGGTCCGTTGGCGTCTTGTTCTTAAGCCTTGATTGGCAAATCAGATTATTGTGAAAAGACCGGGGTATTTAATGTAGCTGAAAAAGTACATAGGCCATTGAAAAGACAATTGCTGCCGTTTTAGATGCAATTTGCTATTTTAGACCCCCCAGTGATTTTGAATAATTAGATTGAAATGGAACCGAATTGAAAAGGCAGCCAAATTTTTGAAAATTTCAATTGTTTCGCCCCGCTCTTTGAAATTCTTCTATTTTCTTCTGTGGTAGTTCTGAAGTTTAAACTCAAATCGACGAAAAAAAATTGTTTTACTACAAATTGTCGCAAATTGTGTCGCATTTTTTTCAGACGGAAGTCACGGGTGGAACCCTTAGATAAAAAATAAAATTTCCAAGATGCAGAAATACTGTTGCCAAATATAGACGTTCTTAAATACGTTAATAAGTTGCCCGTGTATACAATCTGAGAAGTATTCTTAGGACAATGTACAAACTATAGTGCAGGCAACAAATACAGTCAACGGTTCTAGGTTGCACTAAAACATCATCACATGGTTTATTGACTTGTGTATATAGCGCTACCACGTATACTCTAAAAAAAACAATTGTACGCGAGATTTCCAAGAGTAGCTTTAAAAAAATAATAGAAGGTGTTTTTGCAACCAACTCTCTCAACAAGTACGCCCTCTTCTTTTGGAGCATTGGGCCATTGATCCCCCCCCCCCCGCTTGCACACATTTGAATTTAGTTTTTGGGTAATCCTCAAAATATCATAGAGAGTAGAATCTTTCAAAAAAAATAACTGGGAGCAGGGAATTATTTATTTAAATGATGGACTTGGACAAGAGAGGGGATAAATAGCGATAACCAAATGTACATCTTAGAATTTATAAATTGACTATTTGTCTGGCAACTTTGAATGGGTAGAACAATTACTGTCATAGAGTAGAATTTACGGTTCCTTGATGTAAATTTG